GCTATAATGGAATAGCTACCTTCTTCCCCCTAATACAACGTGCGGTCATTATAGCTGTATCTAGACTGAAAGATGCCTCAAATACCGCTATAATGACCGTACGTTTCATTCAGGGGAAGAAGGTACACAAAGAAAAAGTGTGCCGGTCATGATTCAACAAAGCTCGGCGCATAGTGGAGCGTGTCCAAGCCCAAGCCTCGTACTGGTGACCGCCAGCAGAGGGGCAGGGTTCGTCTCCAATTACCGATCAGTGATCACTACCCGTCCCCCACCCCCTGCCCCCTTCGGTACACATTCTTCTGTCAACTTCCTTTACAGAGGAGACCCCTGCAAGCACAAGCTGCACAGCTACCTCTCACGGTGAAGAGGCTATCACATGTTGCTCCTCGCCCTGAGGTTCGTGACCTACGGTGCAGAGTTAGGACCGCCAGTGGGGGTCCGGCAGACTCCGGCTAACACAAAACAGAGCATTTTCGCCAGTATCATCACATTCAACTTGACGACTCATGTCGTTCCATTCAATCATTATTGCTCCACGCAAGCCGACTTCACATCAGGCTTCACTGGAAAGCACAGCGCAAACATAGTACGAACATAAAAGTACCCAACGGAGGGGAAACCCATTGCAATCCAATGAATGAAGTCATCCTTTCAGCATGTCTCGGAAGTAATACTCGCTTAAACCAACAGCACGGCCAACTCGGAAAAATGCCAGCGACGTTGTACCCCAATTGATGAACATGTGAAGAGACAGATCAGAACAACGATAGGGCAGCATGGAAATAATGTTTCGAGACCCTTCGACTAAATCGACGGGTGGACTAGAGTTGATACACGGGTGTCAATTTGTCAAACAACCTGCCAGACTGAGTCATTCATGTACACACCCTTCCTGGACTAGCAGCCTGGTGATCTTGAAGTGACAGTAAGTCCACTCGCACAAAGCCATGTTCTCAATTAACATGCACCGGGACTACGACCAGTATTCAGAACACTATGCCATTTAAAATTTAACATCCATATCGCCTGCATTCGCTGCATCACGTACCAGGTCTTGCAAATGGATGCACGACGTGCATGCATGCATGCACGATGTACATTGACCAAGAGTCCACTGGTATAGCTTGGTGGGCAGGAGGACACACATGCAGGAGGTATGTGCTGCATGCATGCAACTTGAAATACCTGCAACGGATATTTGCTAACATGATACATGTAGTTGGATGGCAGGCGTCATGCAAGCAATTATGCCCTCCTTTCTTTCAAAGCGCCCACTTATCCCATAAATGTATTTCTTTTCTTTTTTCTTTTCTCTCTGTGCATGAGTCCATATTCCACCCTGTGCAGCAGGGAACTTACTAGTTTCTTTTGTTCTGTGTTTGCATTTCATTTTTTCTTCTCTCTGTGCATGGAGTCCATATACCACCCTCTGCAGCAGGGAACTTAATATTTCTTTTGTTCTGTGTTTTGCATTTCATATTCCACCCTGCACATCCGTGCACTTACTTATGTCATGCGTCAATACTTTGACAAATTGTTCAGACTCTCACGGACTCGTCAGAAGCTTGAATGTGTGTGTGTGTGTGTTGTCATGTTAACATGTTCGCTATGTACAACTTCACAAAAAGTATCTACACACATGTATCACACACAGAGAGAGAGAGAGAGAGAGAGAGAGAGAGAGAGAGAGAGAGAGAGAGAGAGCTTAGAATCGGATCAGTAACCCACCACATCCCACGCACACGAACATTAGCACAAAGAGTCACTATCTAGTATCTGCACACAAATTGCAATATAGTTGCGCACAAAGTGACCACATCCTCAGCACACAACGCTTCATAATGGAAAAAATATCGTCTTTTATTGCAATACAGTTGTGGACAGTATTCTCAGCTTCCGGACTCCTCAAACCCCTCCTGCAAGCAGGAACTCCGAACTCCCTTCTCGTGCAATGAACAATCTCAAGTCACTCGCATCAACTTTCGAGCCACGATGTTATCAGTGGTCCAGAACACTTCAGCGCCAAACTTTCCCCCTCTCTGACAAAGTCGCAAATCAAGGTTTGAGCCTCTACGGTCCTCTACGGTCTACCCTAAGAGAAGCAAGCAGAAGCGACCCTCCCAGGGTCAAGTGGCCGCCCAAAACGCAAAACACCGAAACAAACCACGGCAACCACGAACCATCCACTGTTACGTACTACACACCTGGTCAATGACTACACACTACCAGCGTCGCGTCATGACGCCGTAATCAACTCCACCAGAAGACATCAGTCCCATGACAATGGACAGTGGATCACTGGATCGATATTACACTACCAGCAGCCTGAGGGCGGCAGTGACAACAACGCACTACATCACTCCAGTCTGCACATACCCAAACAGTACCATGACAGTTCATCGATATCACACCACCCGCAGCCTTATCGCCTGAAGGCGCCATTCAAGGCGGCAGTGACAAGTTACAACGCAGTACAAAACCGCACTCGAAAATCACATCCAAACTATCGATCCTTCGCAATTATTATGCGGCACGGTGGGCACAGTGAGATATCAAGGGGGAGGAGAGATACAAGGGAGGAGGGATACATTTCGCTAAGAACCCACACAATATCAACCTGTAAAAGGTAATATCAGTCACACAATGTCATATGATTCTTCGGTTGGACAGGGCCCGTTTTCATTAGGTACGTACGTCTCAAAGACCCCTGGCAGTTATTCCTTCAAAAATTACCATACCACGTGACACGGTGACAGTGTATGCACGTACTGAAATCCGCACCCTCGAGTACGATCTCAGGACACTCGCAAGACTTGGTGCACAAAAGGGTTTCAGGTTTGAACCGCAGACTAATCTTAACTGGCAGCACAGTGCCACACACACCCTAAATCGTACGTATCAGGTTCAACCCCGCGGATGAACACATGCTTCCCAGGACCCAAGCAAATGCGATCAAAAGCTACTTTTCAATATCAGGAATATACTCTAAATATACTCTTACCTCACAGCTGTCTCAGGAGTTATGATACTATCGTACACTACGAATGTCTCACCGACGTCCACGCCCATTCAATAACTCTTCAAGAGGATTGTATGGCCGTATGGCATGTCTTACGGTCTGTGTGTGTGGACGTTTGTATGGCCGTACAGGCACGTCTTACGGTCTCTGTGTGTGTGGACGTAGAACTAAAATTTTTGTGTGCCCATGCGTAGAGCTCTCGACTCTTTCATAGCGACTTCAATCTCGCGCTCTGCAATTCTCTCGCAGTCACAGACTCACAGGTACAGTGTTCCAATTACTCATAACGGTGGAATCATCCACTCACTATGCTCTCCTCTCTCAGTCATACCCAACTAGTAGTAGTAAGAACGCTTCTAAAAATTCAGAGAGAAGCCAGTTTTTCAATTCACTTGTATATATTTTCACTTGTCTTTTTTCCCTTCTCTCTTTCAATTCACGGTGTATGTTTTCACCTACCTTTTTTCCCCTCTCTCTCTCTCTCTCTTTCTCCACTCTCTCATGGCCTTCTCTAGGACTCTCCCAGAGACGAGGGAGAATCTTACAGCCATTCATAATGGTGGATTCCACTCACGATGCTCTCCCGGTCATATCCAAGTAGTCAGACCGCTTTTACAAATTCAGAGAGACGTATTCAACTCAGTGTGCATTTTCACCTCTCTCTCTCTCTCTTGAACTCTCTCTTGAACTCTAGTAGTACCCTCGAATTCGTCCAGAGACAAGGAGAGATTCCTACTCAAGTCCTGAGCATACATTCATCTGCCGGCACGGCCCCGCAGACTGTCGCACTATGGGAACATTCACAGTTATTCACAGTTTGCTCTCCCCAGTCCCCTTGTTTCCCTTCCTCGACGATCTCTCTGTCGTGGATCCTTTGTTTGCTGCAGACGAAGAACCGCTAGCTCCTCTCCGTGAGCGCGATCCCGATTTCTCCTCCCCTTCCTCCATCTCAATCTGCTCCCTCAGATTCGCAGCCTGCTCCCTCATTGCTTCGGTTTCCTCGATTGCTCTGTCCATGAGTTCTGCTGCCCTCTCCGCGGCCCTCCGTTTAGCCTCGTACGATCCTTCGTCGTCCGTCCCACGTCCCGTGCTGGTACCTTCGCCTGCTCTATAACCTGCTGCTCCCACTTCACTCGCTCTCTCAGACATCCTCTCTTTCGTCTCGCCAGCTCTCGCCTTGCCCTCCCTGGCCTTATCCTCCGCCTTGTCTCTGACATCCCTGGCCTTATCCTCCGTCTTTTCCTTCACGTCGTACACTCCGTCCGCTGCAGTATCCTTCGCTTCGCGCGCTCTTTCCCGCACATCCTCCGCCTTCTCCGCTGCCTTCTCCTTCACATCAGCCACTTTATCAGCGGCTTTATCCTTCATCTCTCCTACCTTCTCCTGGGCGTCTTCTGCCTTACCTGCCACCCTCTCCTTCAGCTCACTCGCCTTGTCCTGCACTCTCTCCTTCGCGTCCATGAGGCTTTCCTTGGCATCCTCCATCTTCTCGGCAACTCTGTCCTTCACTTCAACAGCCTTCTCCTTCGCGGCCTCCACCTTGTCCTTCACACCCTCTTTGAGGTCGCTGGCCTTATCTGCCGCATCCCTAAGCTTCCGCTTCGACGCCAAGTACGTCTCCGTAGCCCGTTCCGTCATCTCGTCCTTCTTCTCCTTCAGGTCCTCCATTTTCTCACTTACCTTCTCCCGCGTATCATGCAGAGTCTCGCCGATTCGATCCTTGATTGCCTCCGCTTTGTCCTTAACCTGCTCTGTCACACTGGAGGCTCTCTGCTTCGAGTCCTCCATTCTCGCAGCCATTCGTTCCTTCGCCGCCTCCGCCCTCTCCTTCGCTTCGTCTTTGACGTCAACGGCTCTGTCCTTCGCATCCTCCGTTTTTTCAGATACTCTCTCCTTTGCGTCCTCCCATTTCTCCTGCAGTCCTTCCTTGGCATCCTCGGCCCTTTCCTTTGTACGATCCTTCACGTCCTCCGCCTTCTCCTTCACATCCTCCACCTTATCTCCTGCTTTTCTTGTCGCTCTGCCAGCCTCGTACTCCGCATCATCGCGCGCTCTCCCGGCGGCACTCCTTACGTCCTGGCCAGTCTCACGACGTGCACTTTCACCCACTCCCTCTCCTCTCTTCTCCACCACGCCTACCCTCGAGGTTGTCGAAGGTCGGCCGCCCAACTTCTCTCTCACCATCTCCCCCAACTCACTCACTCTCTCCTTCACCCCATGCACCACGTCCACCAATTTGTCCTTCATTCCCTCTACGACGCCCGCGCCGCTCGTCGACGTCCTCCTTCCTTCGTCATACCCCCTCTCGTCGCTCCTAGCACGTGTTGTCGCGTAGCTGTAGCTGTCGTCCTCCCCTCTTCCGCTTCTTCCCTGCCTTCCGCTCTCCTCTTCATTCTTCCCCTCCCTCAGCCGACTCGACACCTCTTCCTTCTTCTCCCTTGCCTTTTCGCTCAAATCCTCTATCTTTTCCTGCACGATCTCCTTCATCTCCCTCGCCTTATCACCCACTTTCGCTCCCACACCTCTGCTATCCAGGACATCACGAAGCTCGTCCTCCGCCTCTTCGACTCTCCTCTTTAGTTCATCTTTCTTCTCCTTCAGCGATTCCGCCATATCCTCGGTGTCTCTCCTAGATGATCCTTCGTTGTCCCTGCCGCTCGTCGACGTTCTACGTGCGTTCCCAGCTTCACCTCTTGTCGTTCCTTCGGCGGCTTGGGATGCCCACCTCTCCCATCCCTCCACTACCTTCCCAGCTGACCCCTCAGTAGTTCTACCACCGGTGGACTGCGTGCTCCCTCCCTTCGTCGCAGATGCAAAGGGATCCCGAGCCGATGACCTCCCGCCTGAACTGCCTCCCTCCCTCGTTTCTCCCCTTTCACTATTTCCCCCTTCCTTCATTTCTTGTACCTTCTCCTTCAGTTCTTCCACCTTCTCCTTCAGGCTTTCCTTCACGTCCGACACGGTCTCTCGCACTTTATCCGTCAACCCTTCGTCCGATGCACCCCTCCTATCGTCCCTCCTCTCCCTCCTCGTCTCTTCCGGGTCAACACCCTGCAGCGACCAAACCATATCACCACCACAGAACAAAACAAACACAGCAATCGAAGAGACAATAGAATCAGCGCGCTGCGGATGATGGATGGTGGAGACTAGCGGTCCGAGCCCAGTTTCTTCATTGCGGAAGACATTCCTGACACAGATCAGATCTAACACTTCGGCACAGAAATTTCAACAGCTCAAACGGAGAGGCGACCCTCTACGATGTGAATAAATTGATCGCACGCTCTACGACACATGATTAAATCGAACGCATGAAAGACAAACACCATCGATCGACGGTCAGCATGCAATAAAACACAGACAATACCCGAAATCCGTAACAACAACACGAATCCGGACACTGTACACCCCTCGACACGAATGCGCATGTAAAGAGTGTCGTACACAACTCGACGACGCTCCTCGCTCCTACCCAAAGGAGCGCTTCAAATTACCCCCTTCTGAAACAGCTGATACATAAACGACAAAAAAAAAAAAAAAAAAAAAAAAAAAAAAAAAAAAAAACTCACTAAGTCCTCGAGATCAACCCGACCCGGTGAGACCACCAACCACGACACAAATCTCATATGTCCAGAGTCGTTAATGGTGGGAGAAGCTGGGGTCGTGGAGGTGGAACAACCAAACGGAGTCGCAATCCTCATGACCCCCAGCCTCCCCAGGGACTCCCACCCCAGGGACTCCCACCCCCAACGAAGTGAATATTTGACAACGGACTACACGGCAGAAATCAATCCCCGCAATCAAAAGAGAAATCAACACGAACTGGCACTGTTGAAATACCTGAATTCATCACTGAAATCAAACGACTTCAAAATGACAATCTTCAATTGCCTAATGCCGATCAGTTTAAATCATAATCTTCAATAACCTAATGCCGATCAGTTTTAAATAATAATCTTCAATAACCTAATGCCGGTCAATTTGATGACCGTATCTCAACACGTCCCCCTCTTAAAAAAAGAAAGGGTTCCCGCGACATGATAGCAGACCAGCTTTAGGAGCTCTCTCTACTTTCCACATGCGCAAACAACAAAACATATGGCAGCATATCTTTCCATGGGCAACGTAGGGGAAGATTCATTCACATTTTACAAAACCAAGAAAAATGGAGCGAGGCTCTTCGAGTTTGGGAAAACAAACTACCGGAAGTCACTACGATAAACAAATCATCGAGAAAGTAATGAAGATACTAGATCTCAACGCACAAAAACATAAACAACAAAAACAAATCTCCGAAAGATAACGACAATAAACAAATACCCGGAAGAGTAATGAGCATTGACGAAGTACAAAAGAAATTTCATCTCCTCGCACAACAGAACGACCGCCAACAAATAATAAGCAATAAGCAGTAGACAGAGTCCTATAACGAAGGGGTTCAAATGTCCCCGGCTCTTCTGCATGCTTCCGCATGCTACGTCAGCAGCATCCACGAATATACTCTTTTCCCTCTGACCAAACGGTCAACAGAAAAACAAGATAATCTCGATAACGAGCCTGCAAACCGTGCAATGCGGTGCATCCAGCGAACCCTCCATTTTACGGACGAGTTCCAATCCCCGACTTAAAATCCCCGGCACGAATACATTCATTTCCCTCTTGACCAAACAGTCCAAAGAAACAAGATATTCACGACAACGAGACTGAAAACCGCGCTTCCAGCGAGCCCTCATGTCGTACGGTGAGGTTCAAATCCCCGGCTTTCCTGCATGCGTCAACAAAAAACTCCCACTCATAAACACGAATATTATCCCCGGCTTTTCTGCATGCGTCAACAAAAAACTCCCACTCAAACGGGCACGAATATTTTCCTCTACATCAAACAGTCACGCAAAGAAACAAGACATTCACGATGACGAACCAGTATCCAGTGAGCCTTCATTTAAAAAAAAAAAAGCAAGCCCCCGACCAATGATGGCATACATAAATCGAGAAAAAATGACGGGTGCAATGTGCCCAGGTGAAAAGCCGTCGCGCCGCGTGAGCTAGAGTTTGGCTAGTGAAAAAATATAAGGGTCTAACTTTGACCCTTCATTTTCAGAGACTAAACCCGAAGGAAAACCAACCGATAGGCCGCGTTTTCATCTGCTACGCAGCTCACGTGCGTACCCGGCCTTCCCATTTTACGGTCGCAGGACGTGACGGCGCTTCCGGCCTTCCACAGCGTCCATTCCCTCCTGATTCACCCATGAACTCAAATGCACGGGACATACGCACTGCCCCAAAACACAGCTCTTGTGACGCACGTGCGGAGGGCACGTGCGGAGATGGTGAGAGAGAGAGAGAGGCGATGAACACACACGAGAAGCAGCAGCTGAGTGAAGGTCCAATCCGGCTCAATGAGAGCGAACAACTGAATGAATGAACTGACCGCGGACCTGGGCCTAGGCCGAAGTGATATACTGGCCTAGGTCCAGGTATTGGAAACAACCTTGAACCTGGTACCGGACCAGGGTCAGGCCGACGACCTGAAACTGGTCCGGTCTCACTGCCGGGCCGTAGGGGTACCGCTACAGCTCTGCCATGCTCAAATGCTTCCGCTGCCCCAAAACACAGCTCTGACATGCTCGAGTGCTTCCGTATCTGAATGCAGTTCAGGCACTAATCACTAGATAGGTCGGTCGTGCTCACGTGCTCCCGTATCTGACTGCAGTTCAGGTACTCATCCACAAGGTCAATCGCTCTCACATGCGCTCGCGTATCTGGCCTCCCTCCCACAATGAATTAAAAGATTCACCCTCTCTCTCTCTCTCTCTCACACACACACACACACACACACACACACAGTCACTCGCTCTCCCATGCGCTCGCATATCTGACCTTTTCCCCACACATTTCCACAACACACAAGCCAAACCATCTCTGATCATCTCCCGTAACCCTACTACTGAAAGGGCGGAATAATTGGCACTGCGAAGTACATCAATTTACACCGTCAGACCAAACTCTACGCTGGTTTCCGCATACGATGGCTTCCATATCATTACGCGACAACAAACACACCACCTCTACGATCTCTACCTTTTCTACCTGGATGGCACGCCTAGTCATTAAATATGTATGTAGACAGAACGTCGTTCCAAAAACAGCTTTAGCGACCGGCCGTTGTACTCGAGTGAAGACGGTAGTCAATTCCCATCTCTACAATCTCTACCCTGTCTACCTGAATGGCACGCCTAGTCATTACCGCTGCATGTAGACAGAACGTGGTTCCAAAAACAGCGTTAGTGCCGGGCCGTTGTACTTTAATGAAGACGGTAGTTAATTTCCAATTCCCCTCCCACAAACCTCGATTCACGGCAAGGACAGATTTAATCGACTCTCCACTCACATATTTGCGACTTGCCCTCACGAGATATAATGTGCGTCGAGAAAACGTTACTCAACAACCTCGACGACAACCACATCTGGCAGTGGACAGTGTGGTATTACCTGCCCATAAATCGACTCTCCACTCGTGTATTTGCGACTATACCTCACCAGATATAATGTGCGTCGAGAAAACGTTGAACTAAAACGGACGGAACCTCGCCGACAACCACATCTGGCAATGGACAGTGTGGTAACAAGAACTGAAATGGGAAACGCCAACGACAATCGTATAGTACGATACGTTTGGAAACGCCCTTCCCTAAATGACACATACATAAGGATGGAAGCACTTCCTTCCGCATTTCCTTCCCTTCCCAGGCTTCCCCCACTCGTATCCACCTCCACGGGAAAGAACGTCTACACAGACTACACATAGTCGACGACTCGTCGGAAAAAAAGGTCTGCATGTAGTCCACGCACATTCAACATTAAGCACGGTAGGATACGATAATTTCACACAAGTGGATCAGTAATTTCAAAAGGTCTGCANGTAATTTCAAAAGGTCTGCATGTAGTCCACGCACATTCAACATTAAGCACGGTAGGATACGATAATTTCACACAAGTGGATCAGTAATTTCAAAAAAGTGGACTTCTCCTTCGTTCATGCAAATTTAATTGACGAGATAGTGAGCGGCGTGCGCCGTCCACTTCAAGGTCTACACGTAGTACCCGCACTTAAAACACTAATGTAGGAGGATACAATAATTTCACTGTAAATACGGTACGATACGATAGTTTCCCCGCACTTAAAACATTAAATGTAGGAGGATACGATAATTTCACAGTAATACGGTAGGATACGACAATTTCACACAAGTGGATCAGTAATTTTACACAAGTGGTCTTCTCCTTCGTGCATACGAATCATTGACGAGATAATGTGCGTGCGCCGTCCAATTGTGATTTACAAAACAGTGAACCGTTCAGGGAACGTACCTCTCTCCGAGACGCAGACGCAGTGATCATTCTCGAAGAACCCGTCGATGATCCCGAGAATCGGGTACCGATCCCAATCAAAAGGGCAGGTGGCACAATACCCAGCTCCCGACACGAGCCAGCTCCACGGTCCCAACCAGCACCTCCACGCCATGCGAGCGCTGAAGACCTGGCCGTAGCAAGGTCACGGACAGCTCCGCCTCCCACCAACGAAGTCAAAGTCAACAGTTGATCTACAGACTCATCTGCAGACAACATCGACGTCACAGAGTCCAATTCATGAGCGTCCTTCGCTTCCTGCCCCGGTAAATTCTTGCCCGCCAGAAGAAGCCGGCGGCTACCTTCAAGCGCAGGAACCCCATTGAACTCCCTCCAACCCAACAGGCGAGCAAGGAAGGGCACGAGAGAGAACCGCCTCCTCCAAGGCTGCATTTCCCGCCTTCCAAAACCGATCGATGACGTGGACGTCGAACGGATGCTCCACGTGTCAGCATTGACTCCACCCCTGGCCCAACGGCGAAAAGCATAGACGGCCGCCATGGGCACTCCTCTCTTCTTCAAACTACCGTTCATACCCGTTCCGGATCTGCAGATATTCCACCTCTGTGTCAATCCGCGCGGTGCCAACACAGCCTGACCAGCCATTGCCCTGAGCAACCTCGCCCTTGACCACTCACAAGGTGTCAATTTATGGCTCGCCAACGCTAACCTTGTCCAGCAGACAGGCTCAGACAGCCACTGACCAACGCTCACACTATTCGCACACTGATGAACTCGCGTCAACTGGAGTCAACGCTGCCAAAACAACGACGGACGACAGGTCGCAAACTGCTGAAACTCGAGTCAACGCGCTCTCCAAGAGACGATGGAGCGATCAGTCAACTTCAATCCGCACGTGAGATATCATACACAGTAGCCTAGACCAATCACCACCAACGACGAGAAAAGGTACACGTGGCTCGGCCAGGACTCCTGTGCGAGTCCACAAGCCAAGGACAAAGGACTCATAGAGAACGATGACTACAAGAGAACTGGCTCGTCGACGACCAACACCTCCGCGATTCACAGCCAGAGATACAGCCGGAATCGGGAAAACACAGTGTACACTTCTCCGTGGCAACAACAAGCCACCCTGCTTCCGCTTCTCAGTCCGCCCTATAAATCCTCCTCCGTCTGCTAGGCGCTTTTTCACTACTACAGAAGCGCACTGCGTTGAAGCTCAACACTGCACAGGAGTGGTGAGCACAGCGTCAAATAAATACAGGTGCAGTGTTGAGAAACGCCACCCGGCCGGCGGGAAAGCAACCACTCGTCACCTCTCCCGCCTCTGCTTTGGACCAGGTCCGAAAAACGGACGTGTCCAAAATGACCCGCTCACCGCGCTCAAAACGAAGCGCCCCCCAAAACATGCCCGCGCGACAAGCAGACCGCATCTGAACCTAGTCTGTCGACACGTCCAAGAGCTGGCTCGAAATTCACCGAGTGGGGTCGCGGGGGCCAGACCGCGAAGTCCAGGGCGGTTCGTTGCCACGTCGACACAAAAGCGCACCCTGTGGTCGCAAAGTTTAGACCAGGTCTACTGAAGGATTCCAGGCTACGTGGTGCGCCCGGAAGAAGCTGCAAACCACCAAACGTGGCTGGTCGATCGGACTTTTTTTTTGGGGTTTTCTTTTTAAAAAAGGGCGACAAGCTTGAGATATCAGCTTTGAACTGACTGGCCCAATTCAGAATTATTTCTCGCTTTTCATCTCATTGGAACTGGATTAGAACTCGGGTTTGCGTTTTAACAGTTCGGGGATTTACCAACTGAGCTGGGCTCGTTGGTGATCAGTCAGAGAAGTCCTGGCATGTACCGTGTACCTGGCAAGTGCCCTAGGTCCAGAGGAAGAGAGTTGGACGGATGTCGCATTTATCCAAACCAACTGGTCGAAAACCGCCAGACCTACGGCCAGAATTGCAAAGCACGCTGCGTCAGGGAACTAGCACAAAAGCAAACAATGGTCAGATTTGACAGGTAAACGTGGCTGGTCGATCAGACTTTTTTTTTTTTTTTTCAAAAAGGGCAACAGGCTCGAGACATCAGCTTTGAACTGACTGGCCCAATTCAGAGTTATTTTACGCTGTTCATCTTATTGGAGCTGGAGTCGAACATGGGTTTCCATTTTAATAGTTTGGGGGTGTACCCACTGAATGGGCTCCTTGGTGATCAGTCGGAGAAGTCCCCGCTTGTGTACCTGGCAAGTGCTTTGTTTGCCCCAGGTCCATAGGAAGAGAGTTGGACGGATGTCTATCCAAACCAACTGGTTGAAAAGTTGACGAAAACCACCAGACCTACGGCCAGAATTGCAAAGCACGCTGCGTCAGGGAACTAGCACAAAAGCAGATGGACTTACAAAAGAATGGTTTACTCACTTAGCAACTCTTCCTGGAAGACAATCTTCAATTGCCGGAGGACATTTTTAAAAATATTACAAGGCTAAACTATTCAATTATCGGAGGACATCCAGCGGCCTAGCCCAATTGGTTAGGCATGCAAGTGGCGTTCGGGACATCGTGGGTTCAATCACCACGGCCGCCTGTGGGACGCTCGGTGCCAACCAACTAAGATGGTCAGCTGGATCCTCCCAGTCGGTATTACTAAGGTCTTCATCCCTGCACCCTAAACACTAGTGCGCGTGTGAGTCCGTTGTGTGTGGCGTGTGGGAGAGTGTTGGCTTTAGACACTAATGTTACTCGATGGGGGGAGGGGGAGATGAGAAGGGAGGCACAGTCACTGGCAAATGCTTGGTCCCTGTGTTAGCCGGGCCCCCACTGGCGGCCCCAACCCTGCACCCTAAACACTAGAGCAAAAGGGCAAAGGGGCAAACATGCCGTTACCTCCCTCCACCAAGAGAGGTTATAACTTCACTTCACCGAAGAGAGGTAGAAAGCTATGCTTGAAGGGGTCCCCTGTATAGCCTTAGGAGTAGTGGTAGGTAGTGAAAGGAAAAAACATACTATGTTCCGGGACATCACAGAAATCCAGTTGAAATATGTGACGTGAGAGAAAAATAAACATATAGTTGTCCCCCTATGAGGAGAAGACAGCTTTTAAAAAAATAAAAAAGAGGGGAAACTAGGCGGGAGTCGTAGAAACGAGTTATAAGTGCACTATGGACCAAGGTACAGTTTCAAACTGCAGATCGGGCAATGTATACAACCCAGCTTTTTGGCCAGGCCCAGGTAGGGTGCCTGCAGTGCAATTGCAAACTGTATCTTGCCCCATAGTGCAATTATAACTCGTTTTTGTGACTCTACTGAAGTTACAAAAAGTTAAAAAGAATCTGAACAGGACAGCCTTTATGGTCTTTTTATTATCATTATACCCCATAGCAGCCAGCCCCAGTTCAAGCCTCAAACGAGTGAAAATGCAGTGGCTGCACCCAACTTGCAGGTGGGCGATACCAGTCAGGGGTCAGCCGGTCGCAACTTCCATGGGCCAGTCACTGTGCTTCCCCTCCGGACCTCCGGTCTCCTCCCCCAACAAACTATTATACCGCGTTCCACGCAGAGGCGCAGCCTGGAGGATATCTCAACCCTGCAGGGCAATTGTTAGAAAACATATGTTCATGGAGTGTGTACCTGACTGTTTTAGGGGTGTTTACTTGACTGTTTTACGGGTGGCACTGTGTACCTGACTGTACTTAGGGGCTGTTTTGGGGTCTGGGCTTTATTGAATTTGGGGCAGTTTTTTTGGTAGTATGTACATTCGAAATGTTCGATCAGTCCGAATCCACAAGGCCGTAAAACCATCTAGATACGTCTAGAAAACAGGATCTCCGCCATCAGCTCAAACCAATCACTCGTGTTACGATGAGAAAGATCTCAAAGTAGGGGCCTCGACCAACGGCACACGAAACAAAAACTGTAAAAAGTGGTTGTATACATTTATTACTATTCGTAGTAAACAGATGGATGGTGCTATATTTTTGGGAAGATGCAGTGGTCTCTCGACCAAAAACCAGCATTATTACTGAAAAGAAAAAAAAATAGAAGTGGACACTGTCCAGAGCCAAATCGCCCTCCCTCATTATGAAAACCCTACTGGCTTACCTAAGACAATACAAAGACATCCAAAGAATGAATCTCCTTTATACTAAAGGAAGCAATTCCAGTCTGGTCTTTTTTTTTTGATGATCTCTCATTAATGGTTGATGCAACTCTTGATCATATGAAAGCAGTTAGAGTATTAATGAACAAATTTTATAAGTTATTAAATATGAGAGTCAATTGATGAGACTTACCTTATGAGGATGGATATATCACCAAAGGGTAAGACCACTAGAAACCCCTCATATTAAATGGATCTCTCTAGAAATATCAATCAGAATCTTAGGTATATACCTATCGGTAAAAGGAAAATCAACAACAAACAACGATAAGATTATGCAAAATGCTCAAACCAAATTTGAACTTTGGAAGAACAAACACACCTCCATCATAGGTCATTCCCTAGTAATTAACAATGTAGTTGTAGCATCTATGTGGTAGAAATCGATCATATAGGCACCCGATGACTTATCAATCAAATTATTTCACAAACAACTGAAGGTTTTTCTGTGGAGAGGCGACCACGATTGCAAAAATATCATTAGTGTAGCGGCATGGTCTTCCATAATCCAGCCCAAGTCCAAAAGTGGGCTGGGTATCATTGATCCTGCCACTCAGACCATAGCTCTCTCACTACAATGGATCAAGAGGCTGCTATTCAATCCACAAATTCTATGAAACACCCTAGCATGAAAACAACTGAGGAGACTAACTCTTCTCTCTGATAGTGCAGTCGACCCGACAATGTTATTAAAAAACTAAGAATGGTCAATCCTACGAGGCAAGACAATATATTAGTAAGGACTCATTCTGGATTAAAATTCTGAAGACTTTGAGAGATATTTTATTGTCAAACAAACACCATCCTCAAAGGTCGGGAGAGATTCTCCTTCAACCAACAATGAATGAATTAGAGATTCTCAAGGCTGTACCCCACACTGCAATGAGAACTCTTGGAAATCATAAATTATGAAAGACATTAGAAGAATCAAAGATATTTGGGATGAAGAAACCAAGGATTGGATTCTCCGTAACGCCTTGTCCACGAAACTTAAACAATATCACCATGTGAATAAAAACCTATAAAGAATCATAGACTTGATCCCCTTGGAGTGGGTGCGGATCCTTAAAAAACGTAAAAATCATTTGGAGGCCTTAGGGGTGGGCACCAGAACAAATAGACATTTTCACACAGAACATGTTCATTATGGGAAGGACAACAATTATCTGGGTCATCTGACAAAGGAGATGCACAAATGAATGAGAGGGTGTTAGACTTGTTGGCCCATTATTCTCCGAGAATATCAAACTGCAAGTGCAAACTGACATTTTGGCGCAATGGGAAAGAGTTAAAGACAAGCTACAACATAATTCTTTAAAATCAGACATTCTCAAAGTCATCAAAACTTTCAGCAGTGACTTGTTAAGGGGGTAAGATGGGGGCAAAATTGAGAGGGTAGAATGGAAAGGAGGAACAAAAGATGAAGGGCATGCGATAAATATAAATTACAAGTTAATATTTAATGGGTGGACTAAGGTAGATCCCTCAATCCCTTTTTCGCCCAATGCAAGACTTTCCTAATTCTTTCCCCCCACCTCTCAATGCGATTATCCTTTTGTCCTGGTACGGTCAGGGTACGTTGGATGCTCCGCAAATCTGTGTTGGAGACACATGCAAGCAATTACAATAGTGATTATCCCATGGATGGGATCAGGTTTCACAAAAAGCTAAGACTAAAAGATCACATATGGTACCCTGTTTGGGGTGAAGAGGCTCAAACCTAGTATTTCCACCAGATGCATCTTCCCGCCAATACATGGAGTGATACACATAGATCATGATAGGGGGGGATACTCATATCACCCTGCCTACCATGGTCTTGCAATAAATTACAATTTCTCAGTCAAATTGTATACACTGTGTTCGACTTTGTAGTTTGTTTACTTGCTGTTTCTTTGTTTTGAGCTTTG